TGAACCGTACCTTCCTCCCTCTTCCCCCCCCTCCCCCCCCCCCCCCCCTCTCCTTCTCCCTGTATCCGTACCGTTCTCGGTTACAGCTCTCGTCTTTGTCTCTCCTAGCCATGGCGTACCGACCTGGCTCGCGCATGGCGCCACCTGGGACGGCTGGCCTCCCGCCGGGCACGGGTGTGCTCCGACCGCCGTCGGGGATTGTTGCGCCGTCTGCGGTGCTGACGAACCGGCCGATGACGAACCAGGGGGTTAAGGGAGTGCGGCCGGTGACGCAGGGCTCCGGGCGCGCGTTCCAGGACAAGAACTGGTACATTGCCGAGGTGCGCGCCAAGACGCAGGCCATCACCGCCGAGCTGGCCAACCTCTCGAACGAGCTAGAGGCGTTCAACTCGTCGGCCGAGAACTATGGGGCGTACGAGCGCAAGGCCGACGGGCTTGCGTCGGAGCTCCGCGAGCTGCAGGGCGTGCTCGCTGACTACAACATGCTTGTGGACAAGATGCACACCGATACCGGCATCAACCAGATTCTGGAGCAGACGGCGGCGGACAAGGCCAAGAACGATGAGGAGCGGTGGCGCATTGATGCCATGTTTACAGAGCGGCAGGCACGCGAGGAGCAGATCCGCACCGTGACGACCGAGATTGCATCGATCGAAGGCACCATCGAGGACGAGCTCAACCAGCTCGCGCCTGAGATGCTCGCCGAGTATCGCGAGGCGCAGGAGACCAACGACACACTGCTGGACACGATTGGCCGGTACCAGGCGGACCTCGAGTCTGGCGCATACCGGCTGCGGTCGATGGAGGACGCGCTGCGGGCAAACCCGCTTAAGCAACAAGCGTTTGCGCTCTTTAACGAGCTCAACGACGCGCGAGCGCGGCGCGACGAGCTCGAGGCCGATGCCCGTGACTCGCAGCTCTCGGGACCTGAGGAGCAGGAGCGACTGCTCAACAAGGTCAAGGCCGACACCTCGGAGATTGGCGCCATGAACCGGCGCATCGCCGCGCTCGAGGAGGAGATCTCACGCGGCCGCGAGCAGCTCGACTCGCTTGCGCGCGAGGAGGAGGCGCGGCAGTCGGACAAGTACGAAAAGTACCTGCAGATCCTGGCCAAGGAAGAGGCCATTCGCAAGTTCATCGAGGAGTTCCCTGAGGTCCAGGCGGCACTCGCGGAAGACATGGCCGCCCGCGAGACGGCCATTGCCGAACTGCTCGAAACGATCGGCTCGGGCCTCGCGCGCCAGACCAACCTCCCGCAAGTCGAGCAAGTGCGCGAAAAGGAGGACCTTCTCGAGTTTCAGCGCGACCAGATGGGCCTTGCCGAGTCGACCCACGACAAGCTCATCCGTGACAAGGCCGAGCGCGAGCGCGACCTCAAGAAGCTCGACCAGCTTGACAAGAAAATCGAGCGCGACATTGCAGCGCTCCACAAGCGCATTCCGACCATGCGCGCCGAGCTTGTCAAGTACAACGACATCAAGAAGCTGCAGTCGGATGCCCGCAAGCTCGAGGCCTCGCTGAAGACCCAGCGACAGGAGCTCTCGCTTAAGCGCGAGCACCTCTCGGCCGAAGTCGGGCGGCTCGAGGGCAAACTCAACGAGCTCAAGGACGCGCTCGAGGCCGACGAGACCTACCGGGGCATCACCAACCTCCAGGCCAAGCTCGCCATCTACGAGCAGACCAATGCCGAGCTCCGGGACTACATCGAGACTAAGGGACGCGAGTCCGACTACCGGGCCCGGCTCCGTGACGTCGGCGCAATCGTCGCCGACATCAACGCCATTCTTGTCGAGGGCACCAAGTACCGAGCACCTGTGCTGTAGCTAGCTACTGCACGCCACCTCGGGCACGCTGTTGTGGGGCCACAGCGAGGGCGGGTTCAACACCGTCAACGTCGGCATGAGCCCCCCCCCCCCCCCCCCCCCGACCAGCCTGAGCAGATTGTAAAACGGTTTGCCGTCAACCCAGACTCGACTCCAGGCTCGACTTTGAGGAACCAGCCAATGGCCGCCAACAGCCCCGACTCTGCCGCGTCCGGCCCGGGCGGAGGAACCACGTCGCCAGAGGAGCAGGTGTTTATGTTTGCCAAGCGCGGGCTCGTCGACGATGTCGAGGGCATTGTGGCAGCGACGGGCGTTGACGCCGTCGCTGCCACCGACGCCCTCGGCAACACCTGCCTGCACTACGCGGCGCAGGGTGGACACACAGCAACGGTCGAGTGGCTGCTGGCTGCCGGAGCCGACCCTAATGCACCTAACGTGTCGGGTGACTCGCCGCTGCACAAGGCGGCATGGGGTGGTCATGCTGCTGCCGCTGCTGTCCTGCTCGCCGCAGGTGCCGACCGCTACCTGGCTAACGCCGACGGCGAGTCGCCGGTCAAGCTCGCTGCCGGCAAGCCGTCGGCCGATGTGCTGGAGGAGCAGCTAGTGGTGGAAGACGGGGACGACGACGATGACGAAGCGTACTCGGACTCGGACTGAGCGGTTTATCCGCCTGGATGATCATCCATCATAAACACAGCCGTGCTGGCAGAGTTGGTAGGCGCGGCTAGGCTGACTCGGGCGGGCCGTCGTGGTCGTCGGTGGTGTGTGACTTGCGGTGGCGGCGCTTCTTCTTGCGCTTGGCGGCGTGGGCCTGGCCGAGCGAGTACTGGGCCATGGCAGTGGAAATGAGCTGGCCGTCGACGAGCTGGTGCTCGAGCGAGGGCCGGCGTGCGGCCGTGGCGCGGGTGGTCAGGAGCTGGTGCTCGAGGTCGCGGATGCGGATGGTGGCATCGAGGTAGAGCTCCTTGAGCATGGCGGCGACTGACGACGTCTCTTCGGCAGCAATCGAGTCGACTTGCCCACGAGCGGCCTTTTGGAGGAGGCTGATGCTGCCCTGGCGCAACTCGGCGATGCGGAGCTCGAGGTCACCGACGTCGAGCTCGGCGGTTGTAGCCCGGACCCGCGCGGCGTCGACAGCAGCGGTAGCAGTTCCCAGCCTTTGCTTCAGGTCCGAGACCTCGCGGCGAGCGTCGAGATAGGCGTCACGGAGGGCACCGATCTGGACGTGAAGCTTGTCGAGCTCGGCAGTGTGGGCGGCGGATGTCACCTGGGTCCTGTTGGCTGCGTCCAGCAGGGCCTCTTTCATCTGGGCCATCTGGGGACGGCACTGGTACCTCGCGAGAGTCTCTTGCAAGACTTGAATGCGCTCCTTGCTCGCAGCGAGCTCGCGGCGGAGGCCAGGTACAAGATCGCCGTCAGCGGCGGTCGAGCGCACAGGCGAGCGGTGAGCAGGACGTGCGGGAGACGAGCGGGCGCGTGACGAGAGCCGAGTAGCCAGCCGCGACAAGCGAGCCACGTGCTCTTTGAGCGAGATGCCCAGCTCAGCCGCTGTGTCAACGGCGTCACTACCGGGCTCGGTTGCGCGTGCGGCGCCGAGCGCGGCCGACAGCGCATCAGTGTCGGCCACCAGCGCCGCCTGGATGCTCTCCAGCTCTGAAGCGAGGACGGCAAGTGGCGTCGATGGTGGCACTGGCGAGTGCGATGCGCCGCGGAGGCCCGGATCGGCCAGCTGGGCTGTCGAAGCAGAGAGCGCGCGGGTGTACTCGCCGATGGCCTCGGCGAGCTGCAGCGAGGCCGAGAGGTTGGTGGCCGACTCGCCGGACGCGGCCGAGACGCGCGAGAGATTGAGCTCGGGCGACGAGTAGGTCGAGGCTGCGGCGGTCGCTGAGAGGTGGTGCGCCGCAGCCGAGAAGCTGCGGCGCGGCGGCGAGGGAGTGGCAGGGGCGTGGGTGTGGGCGTGGGTGCGGGCGTGGGGAACAGTACCGGTCGCCGACGGCTGGCGCCACAGGAGGGCCATTTCGGCGCCGTATGACAGATGCGGCTCCATAGGGTGGGGTGGGGTGGGGTGGGGGGTGGGGGGGGGTGGGGTGGGGTGGGGTGGGGTGGGGGGTGGGGGGTGGGGTGGAGTAGAGGTGGGTGGCAGTGGTCGTAGGTGACATGGGCGAAGACGAAAACTGGAGTGAGTTTGATGATGATGGCAGGGGGGGGGGGGGGAGGGTGAAGCGCTTAGAGGGCTGACTTGACAAAGTCGGTGATCATCTTGAGGGCGGCGTACGGCTTGTAGCTCGGAACCGGGTGGCCGGCGCCGTTGATGGACTTGAAGGTAAAGCCGTTGGCGGCATAGTTGATCTCGTAGCCACCGACCTGGGTGCCTGAGCCAGGCTCCTCGTAGGTCCACGGGTGCCACGGAGTCTCGACCGGGTAGCCGAGCGAGGCAGTCCACTCCTGGGTGCCAGTGTTGGGCACGCAGGCGTCCACGTTGCCTGAGTAGATGAGAACCTTGATGGCGGAGATCATGGCCGGGTAGCGCGGGAGGAGCGACTTGGTGTTGGCAGTGTAGGGGATGTTGGAGCAAATGGCCCAGGTGATGTCCGAGTTGACGTTGATGGCCTTCTTGACCGCCGGGTCGTTGAGATACCGCGAGGCCTGGGCCGAGTCGATGCACTCGTCGGGCCCGCCGAGCTGGGTCAGCGGGTGGCCAGACCCGGAGGTCATCTTGGCGTTGCTCAGCACCGAGCCGACGCACGGAGTGTAGATGCCGTAGATGTTGATGTCACCGATCTCGTTGGAGATGGCCTGGAGAATGCCCGGGCACGCCGGGTTGGTCGACGCCGGGTTGGTGCACCCGTTTGCCGTCAGGTTGGCGTACGAAGTCGGCGAGAACAGATCGTGCGCGTAGAGGAAGTCCAGGTGGATGCCGAGCCCGTTGGCTGAGCAAGCGCCGACCTCCGAGCCGATGCATCCGTTGCCGACGGCCATGCCCTTGAGGTTGAGGTTCGTCGTCCCGGCCTTGTTCGAGGCAAGGATCTGCTCGACGAGCGTCGGGACGTAGATGCCGGCCTGTTGCGTTGAGGAGATGGTGAGTGGCAGAGGAGGGACAAGTGAGGGGAGGTGGGCATGGAGCAACGTACGTAGGACTCGCCAGAGATAAACAGCGGGTTATGCTGGTACTCGGGGAAGTACTGGAGGAACATGAGGAGCGCAGCGTGGTTGTCCTCGGCAGTCTGGGTGTCGTTGAGCGGCAGGTTCTTGATGTCGGTGTAGGAGAAGCCGACGCCGACGGGTGCCTCAATGAACAGCATGTGGGCAAACGAGTTCCAGCGGCCGACGTTGTCGACGAGCGCGCCCTTGACCGGCGCGCCGGACGAGCCCGGTGCAAAGCGGAACGGCCCCTGCTCGTAGAAGAAGCCATCCATTGACGAGCAGCCGGGGCCTGTGTGGTCCCACCATGTCCGATCACGTCCCGGTCCGCACCACAAACAATGCCGCGAGACCAGCCACACCAAAGCATCGAGACCAGCACCCCTCAGGTAAGTCGACCTTGACACCAGTGATATATGACGTGAGGGCGGCACGCACATGCGAGGGACAGAGCACGTGATCTAGGCCGCGTCCGCCGCGCCGCCGCCCACAGTCCCTCCCGCCCTACTCCCTCCCCTCCCTTCATCCCCCCTTCGACGTACCACCGTTGAACCAGAGGACAAGCGGGGCGTTGGGACCGGCCTCAGACTCGACAAACCAGTAGTGCATGTGCTTCTGCGGGGTGATGTCGAGGTAGCCCGAGTACTGAGCCGTCGGCGGCTTGCCGTAGCCCGGCACCTCGGCAAGGAGGTCCTGGTTCCGCGCAGCAAGCGCAGACACCGCAAGCATGGCCATGACGGCCAAGCCAAGCGAGTACTTGATCATGGTGGTGATAAAGATTCAATGAGAGATGAGTGTGTCAAGGCTACGTGCCCGGCGCTCCGGGGGTTGAGGGCAGGCCGAGGGCGGCGAGCGGCTGGCGACAGGCGGCAGGCCGGGCGACTCAAGCGGCGCCCAACCCCGGGTCCATGCCCATGTCGTCGAGATCGACGTACGGCTGGCGACCAAAGCGCGGGAGGTAGAGTCGCTTGTAGACGAAGAAGCCGGTGGCAACAAAGATGCCGACGCCGAGCAACGAGCCAAGGACTATGGCGGCGGTCTTGTTCTCGGACGAGACGCCGCGGCCGTGGTCCGACGGCGGCGTGAGCGACGGGTCCATGAACGTGGCGGTGGCGGTGACCTTGCGAGCGGCAAGCTCGATCTGGGCCTGCGCCACATCCACTTGGCCGCGGTAGATCGAGTCGTGGACGCCGGCAAAGACGTCGGCGCCGTAGCCGAGGACCAGGCCGGGCGCTTGGATGGCGTGACGGTAGTAGGGGCGGCCCGGGATGCCCTCGGGAATGACAAACTCTCTCTCCAAGAGGCGAAGCTTGTTGTTGAGGGCGGCAAGGCGGGGCGGCGGAGCAGCATCGCCAAGGGTGGCGAGTGCATCGAGCTCGGCCATGAGGGTGGCTGATCCGGTGGCAAAGGTGTCGAGCGCGGTGCGGAGCGAGGTAAAGTCGAGGCGTTCGTCGACGCCGCGGACCCGGGCATAGTCGACTACCGAGTCGACGTACGACGGGAGGCGGTCCGCGTAGGTGGTGAGGTTGAACGGGATGATTTGTTGACTCGCCATGCGCATGGCGAGAAGGCCAAAGATCTCCGCCATGGTCTTGTGGAGCTCAAAGTCCGGATCGCCAAACATCTCCATCCACTCGAAGCAGTCGTAGGCGGAGTGGTAGACGCCGTACTTGCCGGAGAACCCAAGGTCACTCGCCGGCACGCCAAAGTGCTGCAGGAACGCAGTGTAGTCACTTCCGGAGCCGAGGACACCGTACTGGTTTGACCAGGTGTCGGCGACAGGCTTGGCCTCGCCGGGGTGGTCGACCACACGCAGAACCGAGGAGACGACCGACTCGAGTGACGGCGTCGCCGACGCACCAAACTGCGGGCCAGAGACTGCGGTGTCGAGATTGAGGACAGCAACCATGTTAGCGCGTTCCGCGGGAGTGAGCGACTCGGCGTAGGCAACCGAGCCGAGGAGGCCGTACTCTTCGCCGCCCCACGAGCCGAAGCGGATGGTACGGAGCGGGCGCCAGCCGTCGGCGGCGAGCTTGCCGAACGCACGAGCAACCTCGAGCATGACGGCCGAGCCCGAGTTGGGGTCAACGCCACCAAAGACCCATGCATCACGGTGGTTCGAGAGCAGGATGACCGAGTCGGCCTCGGGCCCAGAGCCGCGGAGCTCGCCGATGACCGACGGCATGGGCCGGACGTCCCAGGCGACGTCGACAGCGAGCGCGACGGTGACCGGCGCGCTGGGCGAGCCGACATGGTACGTAAAGTTGAGCCCACCTTGCCAGCCACCGCCAAAGACGTCGACCGAGAGCCCAGCGAGCTGGCTCAGAAAGTGCCGCGCGTCACCGTACGAGATCGGGAGGACCGGGATGTCGGGAGTAAGCTTGCCTTGGAATGGACCGTCGCCGGCGCCCGGGCCGAGGCACGTCTCCAGCCTGCGCGGATCGCCTGGGCAGATGTTGAGATACTGTACACTCCCGCGCTGGAGCGAGTACTCGGGCCGCCACGGGCCGTCGGGGAAGACTGGGCCACGAACATAGCCGTCCTGCTGCGGATCCGAGTAGAGGACAAGCGCCTTGCACCCGTTGTCGGACGCGAGCTGTGCCTTGGTCCCGCGGAAGAGCTCGCCGTAGCGGGCGATGCAGATCTTGCCGTCGGTAGAGACGCCCTGCTCGGCCAGAGCCACAAAGTCCTCGGCGAGAGCAAAGTTGACATACACCAGCTCGCCCTCGACGTTGCCCGCCGGCGAGTACCCGTTGAACGCCGGGAGGATGCCGGTCTCGTTGGTCGAGGCAATGCCCGGAATGGCCGGCTCCACCAGCTTGGCCTCGTACGGCTGCGGTGAGACGACGCGGAGGCTCTGTGAGACCGGAACGGTGATGACGGCGTCCGAGGTGAAGATCTCGGCCTCTAGCCCTGCAGCCCGCATCTCATCGCGGGTAAACTCGGCCAGCTCCTGCTCGCGCGTGGTGCCAGCCGAGTGCGGGCGCGCGGTGTATGTCCGCAGCGCCTCGCGACAGCCGTCAGGAGTCGGCTCTGCCCGGAACGCCACCTCCCAGGCAGTTGCCCAGGGCGGCGGAGGCGGGTCGGCAGCGGTTGCTGCCGCGGCGACCACGACCAGAACCAGCAGTGTGGTGGGGATGAGGGTGTGCATGACGAGTGGGGTGGGTGGCTCAGGAGATGACTCTGGGGGGGGGCGCACGTGACGCCTGCCTGACACCGGGCCAACCGGCGATAGAGAGGAGGAGATGGAGGGATGGAGGGATGGAGGGGAGGGGGGGGGGGAGGCGTATGACGAGCAGAGAGAGTATGTGCCGTGTCATGTGATCATCGTATCGACACCCGTGTCTGCCGGCAGGTAGCTCGCCCAGCTGGGATCAGGTCGTCGTCCACCAGCACCCCACCGGGCTGGGCCAGCCTTGCCTCAGCCCACCCGTCCCGCGCCTCGGTCTCCCACCTGCACACACACACACACACTCTCTCTCCCACACCTCTCTTTCTCTCCCCCCCCCCCTCCACACACACACATACTCCTACCCCTTCTCTTTCCCTTCCTCAATCCATACACCGGAGAGTATGCTGCTGCGGAGGACAGGCACATGGCTGGCGGGCAGCGGGCGGCGGGCACTGAGCGCGTCACGTCCCGAGGTGACCGCCGAGGCAAGGGACTCGCTTGAGGGAAGGACAGGCATTCCGGCGGATGCATGGGTCGACGGCGCAGGGCCGGCAGAAGGCGGCGGTGGGCCCGAGGTTCACATCGGCTCCAAGATCGTCGGCTACCCCATCTTGGCCTTTATCCTCGGCTCGTTTGCCTACACCGGCTACCGCATCGCCACGGGAACCAACGAGCCGTGGACCGACGATGACTTCCGCCTGCCCACCCACGTCGAGATCGAGGCCAAATCTGCTGCCATGCGTGCCGAGATCCAGGCCTCCATCGACGCCGCCGCCGCCGCCAAGACATCGCCGCCGGCGTCGGACGCGTCGCAATCATGACCGTCCCACCCTCACCCACCTTTGCCTTAAACCCACTTTGGATGCCTCGCCCAAGCCATTACCCGGGCCATGGCCCAAGCCATGGCCCCATGTGATGAACTGCCCAGGGCTTCCATCAGTGCGACACGCCACCAGTCGCCAGCCGCCAGTCGCTCCTTTCCCCGCTGCCCGACGGCGACCTCCTCTTCCTCTTCACGCAACTCCCCCCCCCCTCCCCCTCCCCCTCCTCCTCCCCGCTATGCCCACACTCTGCGTGGCATACATTGATGCCGCGGGTCGCAGCTCCAAGCTGAGGCTGCAGGCCACGCCGTCGGCCACGCCGTCGGCTCTCGCCGCTAATGCTGCCGCTGCTGCCAACCTTCCAACAGACGGTGCGGTCCTGCTCCACGCTGGCCGTCCGCTCGAGCCAGAGACGCCGCTGCGGCTGCTAAACTTGCCGACGGGTGCAATCCTGAATCTGCGGGTGGCATCGCGCGAGGCTGCATCGCCGTCGTCGTCGTCACCGCCGCCCATGTCTGCTGCTGGCGGCCCGCGGGCGTTCGAGGACGCGCTCGCTGCGCTGGCTGCCGAGCGTGATGCGCTCGCCACAGCCAGCGCCTCGCTCGAGCCGCTGACCAAGGCACTGCAGCTGGTACTCAAGATTGTAGGCAACGTGCTGACCCATCCCGGCGAGGCACGCTACCGCGAGCTCCCGCTCACGTCCAAGGCTTACTCGCTCAAGATCGCGCCGGTGACAGGAGCGGTGCTTGCGCTGCATGCCGCAGGCTTTGTGCGCAACGACGACGCCGGGTGCCTGCAGCTTCCGGCGACAGCCTCGGATGCGCCGCTGCGGACAGCACGCGCACTGCTGACCTCGTTCCTTCGCGGCCTCGCATCGCCGCCCGCAGACGCCCCGGCCACGGGCGCTCTGCCTGCGCCACCGGTCCACACTCGTGACAAGGGCAAGGACGAGGCAGGGGAGAGTGGCGCCGCAGCCGAAAGCACCAGGTCCGGTGTGGCGCCGATGGAAGTTGCAGGCGAAGACGGCTCGGGTCCGCAGATTGTGCGGATGGCAGCCAATGCGGCGGCCGCAGCCGCGGCCGAGGAAGATCTCGCCGCTGTCCGTTCGATGTCAAGCGAGGACGAAGCTGCGTGGCAGGCCAAGGTGGCGCGTGCATCGGCCCCTGTCGCGCGCGCGCTGGGCGTGTGGGATCCGGCCAACGGCGCGCCACCCGCGCCGCCGCCGGCAGATGCCGCGCTGCTGGCAGACGAGTCGGCGCTGTTTGCCGCTGCTGCCCGCGATCTGCGCGACAAGGCCCAGGCACTTGTCAATGCGCCGCTCAAGACCCGTGCTCTCCGCGCACGCGAAGAGGAGGCCAAGGCCATGCGCTTTGAGCGCTGCACCATCCGCGTCCGTCTTCCCGATGGCTGGATCGTCCAGGCTTGCTTTGCTCCGCTCGAGCGCGTTCAGGCCCTCTACGACGCCATTACTGCACTCCTCCAGCCTGAGTCTCCCGCTGCGCAGCAGCTTGTGCTCTACATCACCCCGCCGCGCACCGTCCTCGATCCGGCGACCACCTTTTACGCCGCCGGCCTCGTGCCCGGCGCACGGGTCTTTGCCGCATCCGGCACCCTCACGCCGACAGCCAAGGCACTCTCCCCGCCACCGTCGATCTACCCTTCGGCCTCGCCTGTGGCGGCCTCGTCCTCATCAACAGCATCCACCGCACGTGCCGCACCCAAGCCCAAGCCCAAGGCGAGCGGAAAGAAGAAGAAGCCATCGTGGCTCAAGCTGTAGCCCCCCTCCCGGACGAGTCGATGACAGGTTGAACACGTCATACCCCCCCCCCCCCCCCTTTCCCCCTACCGCCACACACTTGACTGGCATGGCTTCCATCAACAACAGAGAGACGCTGGTACAGGTGGCTGGCGACCGGGCGGCGGTGGTCGAGGGCGTGCGTGGCTGGCTTGCGCAGGCGGCTCAGAAGGCAACAGCGGCCGGACGGCCGTTCCATGTGGCCGTCTCGGGCGGCGGGCAGCCTGCGCTGCTGGCCGAGGTGGTGGCGAGCGGTGGCGATACGCTGGCGCTCGACGACTGGCAGGTCTGGCTGGTTGATGAGCGAGTGGTGACAACCGAGTCGGAGCACTCGACGGCGGCGGGTCTTGCCGATCTGCTCGCCGCCCTCCCACCCGGCGCCGGGCACATGCTCGACCCGACGGTGGTCAGGGCCGCCATAAGCGCAGACTACGCACCCGAGACCCTCGCCGCGGTGGCAGCCAGCTACGCGGCGGCCATCGAGGCGGCACTCCCGGCGACCGACGGCGTGCCGGTCTTTGACGCTATCCTCCTCGGTCTCGGCCCCGACGGCCACACCGCGAGCCTCTTCCCTGACTCGACGCTACTCGCCGATCCGGCGCCACCGATCGTGCAGTACACCGATTGCTCGCCCAAGCCGCCGCCGCAGCGCGTGACTCTCTCGCTCCCAGTCATCAACGCTGCCGCGGCTGTGTGCTTCATCGCCACCGGCGCGTCCAAGGCCGACGTCCTGCCGACGCTTGTCGGCACCTCCAAGCTCCCGCCGTCGCCAGCGCTGCCAGCATCGCTCGTCGCCCCGCCAGCCGGGCTCACCTGGTTCGTCGACGAGCCGGCTGCAGCAAGGCTTGTGTAAGGTGAGCGTATGTGTCACGGCGCACATAGGGAAAATATTTTTATCGCTTCCACCCACACGCGCATCAGCCCAATCCAATCCTATCCTTCGCACCTTCACGAAGCTTCCTGAAGCCGAGCATGTTAAAAGGTGACGAATTTGGGTGCAGGTCGTCACGACAAGAGGCAGGTCACAACCAGTGTGCAGTACTCAATACCGTTGGCAACACAGATGGGTAAGGACTACTATGCTATTCTCGGCGTCGGGCGCGACGCCGATGACAACGCGCTCAAAAAGGCGTACCGCAAGCTCGCCCGCAAGTGGCACCCAGACCGACCTAATGGGGATAAGGTCAAGTTCCAGGAGGCGTCAACGGCCTTTGAGGTGCTCTCAGATCCCAAGACGCGTCAGATCTACGATGCGTACGGCGAGGACGGTCTCAAGCACGGCGTGCCCGGGCCGTCGGCCGGTGGCGGCGGCGGCGGCATGCCTGGCGGCTTTGGCGGCATGCCCGGCGGCTTTTCGTTCTCGATGGGCGGCAACGGCGGCGGTGGCTTCCAGCCCACTGACGCCGAGGAGCTCTTCCGCCGGATGTTTGGCGGCGGCGGGCTCGAGGAGATGTTCGGTGGCATGGGTGGGATGGGCGGGATGGGCGGCGGATCGCGGTCAAGCTCGCGCCGCGGCTCGGCCCGCTCTCAGGGCCCGCCGCAAAAGGCGCCGACCATTGTCCGCGACCTGCCATGCTCGCTCGAGGAGCTGTACAGCGGCAAGACCAAGAAGCTCAAGATCACACGCAAGATCATCGACGGCTCTGGCGGCCGGCGCGACGAGTCCAAGGTCCTCAACATCGACGTCAAGCCGGGATGGAAGGCCGGAACCAAGGTGACGTTCCCGGAGAGTGGCGACGTCCGTCCGGGCGTTGTTCCCGCTGACGTCCAGTTTGTGGTTCGTGAGAAGCCGCACTCGACGTTTAAGCGGGTTGGCGACTGCCTCGAGACCACTGTCCGCGTTCCGCTCGCCGCCGCGCTCACCAAGTCGGCCCGCTTCTCGCTCGAGACCCTCGACGGCCGCACCATCACCATCGAGCCCGAGTCGGTCATCACACCCAACACCCGCCACCGGGTCGCCGGCGAAGGCATGCCGCGCCGCGCAAAGGACGGCCCGCGCAAGGGCGACCTCATCGTCAAGTTTGACGTCGACTTTCCCACCGCAAGGCTCGAGTCGCTGAGCGAGGCGCAGCGGAACCAGCTGATGGCTCTGCTACGCCCGTAGCCGCATCCTGTCATGTCGTCCGCGTCGTCGGTTCCACCACGACCTTGTCCAGTTGCCGTGCCTTCTTGGACTCGCGCGCATCGTCGCTCGGCTCTAGAGCGTCGGGCTTGGGTAGCGCCCGCTTGCGTGAGAGCGGCGGCGCCGAGGCGCCGGCGTCAGGCACATGCCGCTTAATCCACGGATGCGTGTAGATGGATCGGAGCGGGAGCCGCTTCCGCGGGTCGAGAGTGAGTAGCGCCTTGACAAGGTCGATAGCGTCGGGCGAGATGGTGGCCCAGACGGCGGCCTCGAACGAGATCATGCCTTGGGTGATCTGGGTGTAGATGGGAATCTTGCGCTCTTCGTAAAACGGCGGAATGCCCGAGAGAACAATGTAGAGGATGACACCCATGGACCAGACGTCGATGGAGGCGTCGTAGCCCGACGCCGAGGCCTGCGAGACAATGACCTCGGGCGCCAGATACTGCGGCGTGCCACAGAGCGTGGTCATGACCTCGGTCGCACCGAGGATGCGGGCAAGCCCAAAGTCGGTGAGCTTGATGGAAGCATCGTCGTCGGTGCTCTCAAATAGAATGTTCTCCGGCTTGAGGTCGCGGTGGACAATGCCGACCGAGTGCAGATACGCCACCGCGTCGGTGAGCTGGACCATGAGCGACGCCGACGATGCCTCGGTCAGCCGCCCGCGCTCGATGATGCGGTCAAAGAGCTCGCCGCCGGTGACAAGCTCTAGGACCAGGTACAGGTACCGCTCGGTCTTGAACGAGTCGATGATTCGCACAATGCCCTTGTGCGAGATGGCCTGCAGCACTTTGACCTCGTCCATGAGCGACTCCTGTCGCAGATGCTTGTTGAGTCGGAACTTGTGAATGTCGATGATCTTGACCGCCACTTGCTCGCCCGATGCCAGGTCGTAGCCGAGCTTGACTTGCGCAAACGCGCCCGAGCCGAGCGTGTGCCGCAGCGCGTAGCGCGAACCGATAGTCTCTGACACTTCGGGATCGAGCGAGCCGGTCCCGAGTGTTGCGTCGGCCGAGAGGTCCTGGTAAAGATACGCCACGCACGCGTTTGAGTCGGCCATGTTGCTTCCCTTGGTGGTGATGACCAGCGAGACCTCATCGTTGTTGGCGAGCACAACCCGTCGGCCGCGTCCGATCTTGCGCCCATTGACGTACGTCCCGTTGGACGAGAGGTCCGTGAGAAAGACAACACGCGTCGTCGAGTTGGGCGCTTCGCTCCGCTCCAGCTTGCAGTGCTTGCCCGAGACCCGGATGTCGGTGAACCGGAGGCCCGGCGACGAATGGCGCCCGCGGCCCATGAGGTACTCGTCCTCGACCAGGTCCACGTTGGCGTGGCTGGACGAGAGCGACACCAGCCTTCCCCATGGCACTGCTCGGTCGGCGCCTCTTCCGTCTCGACGTCCTGTTCCACCGCATCTGGGTCAGTAACTGCGACACCGCCCGGTCTACGACCTTTTCCGGCCAGGATCACGTCCCGCCGACCACGAGCCCCACCCCCGCCGACCCACCCCGCCCCGCTCCCCTCTCTCCTTGACGACCTACCTCTGCAAGCGAAAACTCATCCACCTGTGTGTTCTGTGTTGGGTCAAATCCCGCGTCATCCTGTGACGGCTCTACCACCCGCGCCATCTCGTCAGTCGCGGTGGGTTGGGTGGGGTGAAGTGTGGCGAGGCTTGCGCAGGACGTGGCTTTTATCCTCGCCATCAGAGCCACTGCTGGAGCTGAGCGGCGATGGCCAGCCGGGCTGCGACGATAGGCTGCTGATCCGTAGGGAGCGGCGGGTGGGTCCAGAAGTGGTGCGAGGCGCCCGGGACATAGATGGCGGGCATGCCGTTGACCGGCTTGTTGATGGAGAGGGCGTGCCACGGATCGATGGCGCCGTTGACCCAGAGGATGTTGGATGAGTGCGGGTTCCAGCCTCCGGTGCGGGCGTTGGAGGCGTTGGCAGCGGCGTAGGTCTCGGCCGGCGAGACACCAAAGGCCTGCTTGCACTGGACGAGGTACGACTCGATGTCGTTGAGATGGGGCGACGAGACCGAGATGCAGTCCGAGTCCGGGTTGCACACCTGGTAGTAGCCGTACTCGGTGCAGGTCTGCCAGGTCCACGAGCGCATGATGGCGTTGACCGAGTTCGGGTCCGGGTGAGTATCCATGAGCGCAGCCATTTCGCCGGTGTACGAGACGTTGAGGCACTGACCGGCGTTCGCGATGGCGTTGATGCTCGCGATGGCATCGTAAGGCTTGCCGCCAGACTTGACGACCTGCAGCGCGGTGCTGCAGACAGAAGCAATGTCGCAGACCGGGGTAGTGCACGCCGGGTCGTTCTCCTGGACTGGGAGCAGGCCGCCGAGCGACTCGGTGAAGACGACCCAGTTGGCCTTGTCGTCGAGCGACGACGCAGCTCCCGAGCAGACGCCAAACTCCGAGGCGAGCTGGGCGCGCTGGGCTGCCGAGCCGGCAAGCATCTCGCCGACGGCAGCATAGCCCGCCTTGAGCACATCGACGCACTCGGCCGAGCCGCCGACGATGGGCGCAGCCATCGAGGCGGCGACGACGTCGAGGTAGCCGGTAAACTCGACCTGGGCCTGGACCGGCGCCGACGACGCGACCGAGGCGTGGATAAGCTCCGGGTAGAAGAGACGCGACCAGGCAGCCATCATGCCCGGATACGAGCCGCCAAAGGTGACCCACTTGTTGGCGCTAGTGAGGCCAAACTTGGTCGAGGCATACTTGACAAAGCTCGCCATGTCCGCAAGCGCCTGCGGCGTGGTGAGGAGCTTGAGCGAGTCGACCGAGAGATCCGGCCGCGGCATCGACGCGCCATAGAACCGGTGCTCGAGGGCGAGGATGAGCGCCGAGTGGTTGCGGGCGAGGACCTCGACCATGAACCCGCAGTGGTACGAGCCGGTGATGGCGACCGCGTCGTAGAGCGGCGTCTCGCCGCCCATGCAGAGGAAGACCGGGCCTGTCCCGTCAAAGAACGTGTCGTTGACGTAGTACCGCTGTGCGTACGTTCCGGCGTCTGGGTTGTTGTGGTCCACAAGCTGGTCCGTGAAGAACTTGGCGTTGCCCGACGGCGGCGGGGGCCGTCGCCGAGCCCGGCCGCCGCAGCCTTGGCCTTGACCGCCCGCGCCACGCTCACCAGCGACCCGTGGGCCACCGTGGCGAGGACCGCCATAGCAAGGAGTGCAACAAGAGTAGCGCTGCCCGTCTTCATCTGTGGTTCCGAGATGGACGAGTGTGGCAGCTGTGTGGACAGCAGCGAGGTCCGAGCGCGACCACGTGACTCGGCCAAGAGTGGCTGTTTGAACTCGTACAAATTGGGGCTTTACAACATCGACGGGGCAGACGAGGCGTGGGCGTCGTGAGTAGAGTCGTCGTCGACGGAGAGATCGAGCGGCTTGCAGAGGTGGTCGACGACGATGGTGGTGAGGAGCTCGTTGCCGCCGTACTCGGCAATAGTGTCGAGGATCGAGTCTCGGATCTTGTTGAGTACCTTTTCGGCGTAGACAAACGAGCCGACAGAGTGCATGTAGCGGACGGCGTAGCGCTTGACCTCGGGGTCGGTCGTCCGCTGGCGGATAATGTTGATCAGCCGTGAGTCGTTGGGCCGAGCACGGATGGCGTGGATGACCGGGAACGAGAACTTGCCCTCGGTCAGGTCGTCGCAGAAGCCCTTGAGACCCTGCATGCGCTTGTCGGTCAGGTTGAGCACGTCATCGCGAATCTGGTAGTGGAGCGCGATGAGGTTGGCGAGCGGGACAAGATCGACCACCTCGTCCTTTTGCGCAAAGAGGGTGAGGAGCTTGGACGAGAGGCGGGTCAGCCCGCCGGTCTTGTCCAGCACCGCCCGCTGGTACTCTTCCTCGGTCGGGCACTCGACGTTGTCACGCCAAACCAGCTCGAGGCCCTGTCCACGGTGCAGCTGCAGCATCTCTTCGAGACAGACCGAGAGCGCGTCGGGGTGGCCGAGCGCCGCCACCTTCTCCATCGCGAGCATGTACACGTAGTTGGCCGAGTTGATCACCTGCGCCACGCCGTAGACCTTGTGGGCACACGGGACTCCACGGCGGAGCTCGGACCCATCCTGCACGTCGTCGATGAGCAGCGACGCGTTGTGCAGCATCTCCACAACCTCGGATATCTTGCGGACCTGCTCGTCTGGCACTTCCAGCCAGTGGTTGAACGCCTTGATCAGCATCGACCGCACGCCCTTGCCCGGCACGTCGGCGATGTAGCAGAACGGCTCGAGCAGCAGCGACTCCATGTTGGCCGGCGGCTTGGGATTCCGCAAGATGCGAAAGTACGACGCCGGCGACTCGAGCGGCGTCGTCGATGGGCGAAACAGCGGTGCGTCGCTCCTCTGCGCTTCGCTTGCCACGCCTCCACCTTCCGAGCTCGGCTTCTTCTCCTCGCTCGCCGAGGCCTCCAGCCCACCGGTGCGGATGTTCATGCCGGTCTTTTTGTATTTAGCCTCGTCAGCGCTCATATTCTCCACAACAACTTTCCTCTATAGGTGATAGTGGTGGTGGGGAGAGGGGAAGGAGGGGAGAGGGTCGAGTGCGAGTCTGTGTCTGTGAGCGAGTGCTCAAAGCGGCGGCAGTGTGTTCCGACGAGTCACGGCTGGCTGGCTGGCCGATCGGTGGCTGGCCGACTGTTCGCCATTGCCATTGTTCACTGGTCATTTCTGCCGTGGCCGCCTTGGCCTCTCTCTCACCGGTCTCATTCTCCGCCACCGCACCCTGCACCCCACCCACCCCCTGCACCCCACCCCACCCATCCCCTCCACCCATCCCACTCTCACTCCTACTCCACTCCTCCACTCCACGCGACGCTCTTCTTCCCCGGGCACGCGTGCTGTTACCCACCATGAGCGAGGTCGAGCAGGCCGGACAGGCTGGGCACGAATCAGTCGGCGACGGTCGTCTGAGTGACGTGAGCGTCACGGGCAAAACAGACGCGCTTGGCGGCCGTAGCGGGGCTGCAAACGACGGTACGGCTGACAACATGCATGCCACCAAGGATGCCAGCCAAGAATGGGGCTCGCTCGACGAGCTGCGCGACGACGAGCTGCGGGCGGCAGTGGCCGAGGCGAGGGCCCGGGCCGACGAGCGCGGCCACCTCGTCAGGGTTCAGCGGGCAGTGCTGGCGGACAAGGATGCGGCCATCACGGCACTGGAGGGTGAGGTTGAGGCTCTGCTCGCCTCGCATCAGCGGACTCAGGCCGAAAAGTACGAGACCATTGCTCGGATCCGCAAGGAGGCCGCCGCCGAGGCCGATCGCGCCGCCGAGACGATCCGCCTGCTCGAGTCGCGGTCGGCGGCCGGCGCGAGTGCGGGCGGCTCGACAAGTCACGGCTCGGTCGCTGCACCGTCGCCGCGCGGTGATGAGAGCGAGGATATTGAGGCTGCTAACGCTCGACTGTCCAAAGCTGTCAAGTCGCTCGAGCATGACAAGACAATGCTTCGCCGCCGGCTCGCCGCCTACGCCCGCGACATCAAAGCGTACAAGAGCCAGCTCCGCGACGCCTCGCGCGTCATTGTCGAACTGGGCGGCGACGCGCTCGATTTGCGCTCGGGTGAGTCGGGGCTGAGCGCGGTTGCGCTGGGCAGCGACGGCGAGAGCGAGAGTGTGTCGACGCTGCCTGCGGCGGCTGCTTCGGGCGGCACGGCAGCGAGCAGGCCCGACAAGAGGCGCCACAAGCGCCGCAAGGTTCCGGCCCGCAAGCGCGGCAGCCGCAAGCACGCAAACCGCAAATCCAAGTGCTCAGGCGAGGCGCCGCAAGGTCGGCGGCGGAAGAAGAAGCGCAAGCTGCGGAGGGTCAAGGTCAAGGTCGACGAGGAGACGGGCAAGGCGGGCAAGACAGACAGGGCAGACAAGGCTAGCCCAAGGAAAGATTCGAGCGAAACTGCAGCCAAAACCGAAGCTGTGGGCTCGGAATCGGGTTCGGGTTCGACGCCTGCGTCGTCGCCAGCGGCCGACTACGTTCCCAAGTCGCCGCCAGTCGCTAGCACGGCAGGTTCAGACGCGACCGGCGGCGGATCGGCGAGCTCGAGTGGCGAGTACGAGTACGAGAGCGACGACGACGGTGACGAGTCTGATGAGTCCAGCTACGAGGAGCTCTCGTCGTCGTCGTACTTGCGGGCCAAGTTTCCGCAGGAGGAGAACGTGTTTGTACTCACGGCCAAGTACATTTTCCGATCGCGGCTGTACACCGGCGACGATACGGTGCTGTACCTCGCGTCGCCGCGCGACGAGCCGAACCTGCGTGTGGTCATCAAGATCTTTGACGACGACCGGTGGAGCGAGCGCAAGCTTCCCAAGTCTGTGGGTATTCTCAAACACCTTGGCCGACACCCCAACATTGTCGAGGTGCTGGCGTGGTACACGCTACCCAAGACTAGCTGCTACGTCATTGTGGTGCCGTTTATCCAGGACACGGTTGTCGACGGCAAGTCGTCGTCGTCTGTCATTCGGGCGTACATGTTCCATCTCTTGGTGGCGCTTGCCCACTGCCACGAGCGCGGTGTCGTGTACCGCGACGTCAAGCCAGACAACATTCTGTTCGACGCGGCGTCCAAGCGGGCGATTCTCATTGACTACGATTGCGCCACAGTTTACTCTGCGCACCGGCCGCCGACCTCGTACACCGGGACCGAAGGCTACATGGCGCCCGAGATCCGCTCGCGCAAGGCGCGTAAGGCCGGCTACTCGTTTGCCGTCGATGTTTACTCGGCTGGCGTCGTCTTTTCGAGCTCCTTTTCAAGGTCCCGTCGTCGCTGCGGTCCGAGCTCTCGCACTCGCGCATCATGCGGCAGATCGAGAGCCTGCCCAAGTCGATGCGGAGCAAGCCGCGCATGCAGCTGCTCGAATCCATGCTGAAAGTCAAGCCCGCCAACCGCATCACGGCTGCCGACGCCATCCGACACAAGTACTTTGGCTCGATGGCCAAGAAGGCTCTCGCCGCTGCCCGCAAGGCTGCCCGCGCCCGGCCGTCGTCGGCCTCGGCCTCGGCCTCATCGGACGGTGACGGCGAAGATCGCAAGTCCAAGCGGTGCAAGGTCCAGTAGTAACTATTGAATGCCATGTGAAGAAAGCAGGTCTCTGGTGACTTGGCTGCCATGGTTGTACCTGCAGCCTCTGCCGCCTGCTGCGAGTAAGGTCAAAGTGAGCCCGGGTCTAGCCCCCCCCCCCCCCCCCTCCTCCCCGCTCACACACACACACACGTCCCGCCCGCCCCACACTCCACTCGACTCCCACTGTGCCGGTGACACAGACAGGATGGGTGCGCGCGAGTCACGGACGCCAACGCCTCCGGAGAATGTGCAGATGTCACTGCGCATTACCAACAACCTTGTCGAGGCCCTGCTGAACGCAGAGGGCGTGGCCGTGCCGGGTGGCGGCGTCGGCCGGGCGCGTCAGCAGCAGCAGGCCACGGCAGCCAAGGCCTCTGGAGCCAGTGGAGGCGGACCGAGGGCTTCCAGCAACAGCAACAGCAGCAGCAGCAGCAGCAGCAGCAGCCAGGGCAGTGCCAAGGGAGATGGGCAGGCGTCGAGCAAGAGCGCGAGCCAGGCTGCCGGGGCTGGTGGGAAGTCAGGCGGCTTTGCTGCCGGCTTTGCGGCCGGGGCCGGGTCGGGTGCTGCAGCAGCCGACGGCGCACGGTACGGAGGGAACGGTGGCAGTGCCCGGGCCGAGCCGGGGCCGGACTTTGGCGGACACGCGTCAGTGCCGCGGGCACGGTACATGCAGGCTTCGCTGCCGTACGAGAGCACCGAGGTCCTGCTCCGCCAGCTAAGCGACGTCAAGGAGGAGCACGAGCAGCTGCGGAAGCAGCTGGCGGACGCCGCCGAGGCAGCCGCTGCCGGCAAGGTACAGTCGGCGGACGCAGCTCGCAAGCGTGCCGAGGCCGAAGCTAAACGCTTGCGGACCCGCCACGAGTCGGAACGGGCCCGCCAGGACGCCGAGCTGCGCAAGGTCTCGGCATCGTCGGCCGCCGCCGCGTCGGCCGAGGTCGACGCCATGGCCGCGCTCGAGGCCCAGCTGCAGCGCTGGCAGGGTGTCGACTCACTTGATGCCCGCGACTTTAAGAACTCGCGTTGTCCCGACGCCCGCAAGGCGCTTGTGGACTGCTACCGTGCCGCAGGCCACGACGTCCTCGCCTGTGCCGCCGAAGTCGAGGCCTTCCGCAAGTGCGCCGCCACTCACGCATAAAACAGATCGCTCTCTCGCGCACAGTCGCCGGGCCGGCGTCGTCCGCTCCTAGTCGCCGGTCGCCGATCGGTCCGGCAGCGTCCGCTCACCGTCCCCACCTCACTCGCCCGCTCCCCGATGACGGCTAAGAGAAGCGCTCCTGGGACATGGCAGCGAGCCGTGCTGGTGGCAGTGGCACTGCTGGTGGTAGTGCTCATGGCGACGGCCGAGGCCGGTGCGGCACGGCGGTCGCTGGCGCCGTTTGTGGCGCCGTTCTTTGTGGCTCGGTCGCCGCTGGCGCCGTCGCCGCCTGCTCCGCTGGGCGAGTGGGCAGAGACGGCGGTAGCGGAGCAGGTGCCTTCGGTGCTGCGGGCGCCGCCCGAGGTGGCCGCTTGGGGCGCGACAGCAAAGTGGACGCCCGAGTATCTGGACGAGGCCCTGGGCCAGAGCCCGCTGCCGGCCAAGCTTCAAAGCTATGGGTCAGCGAGTGCGGCGTTCTTCCCGCGCGGCTGCTGCCCGCTCGGCCCGATGACGGCCAAGGCGGTGATGGACGGGACCAGTGGCTACGGCTATGCCTCGGTGCCGGGCGAGTGGTTCCTGGCCAAGGACGCGCGTTTGGCGGCAGACATCGGGTCGCTGGCGCCGTTTGTGGCGCCGCTCGGCGCGCATGTCGATGACATCGTCCACCAGCTCTGGCTCTCGTCGCGCGGCGTGGTCACCCCGCTCCACGATGACTACCCGGCCAACTTTTTCGTCCAGCTCTACGGCTCCAAGGAGCTTGTACTCTTCCCGCCCGAGGCCTACCGTGATCTGGGTCTCTTTCCGCGCTCCTCCTTTTACCACCGCCAGCTGGCGGTCGACCTGCGGCTCGATCCGGGCCGCGGCTCGCCATGCTGGCCCGGTCCGCTCCCGTGCACCCTCCCGCACTCGCTCTTTGCAACCAACAAGACGGCATGGAAAGAGCGCATGGCCGCGCTTCAGGGCGCAGGGCTTCGGGTTGTTCTCAACGAGGGCGACGTGCTCTACCTCCCGCCACTCTGGTTCCACACTGTGCGAACGCACGACGCATCGATCTCGACCAACTTTTGGGTCCACCATCCGGCGCTGCTGGAGTTGGACAGGTTGTGGGAAGTGAAGGCCCCAAGCTCGCCGAGCGCACTGCGCGCCGTTGTTGCCGGCCTTGCTCACCGCTTTGGTCCAGACTTTGTCCTCTCTGTTCGCGATCGCTGGCTCGCCGGCGAGGCCATGACCGCGCTCCACGACTCGATCCACCCCGAAGACCCCGACTGGAAGGGCTATCTCGAGGAGGATCGGTCGACACCGCTGGCCGCGCGGGTGATGGCTGATCCGCTCACCTGCCCTGCGGGCGATAGTGAGTACGCGGCGGCTGGCGGCGACGGCGCTCCTGCTGCGCTTGTCGCTGTTCTCGACATTGTGGCTGCCGCCGAGAACGCCGGCGGCAGTGCCGGACAGATCGAGATTGTTGTCGGCCACTGGCTCGAGGCAGCTGTCGAGCATGTCGTGCAGGGTGCATGGGCGTGTGTCCTGGAGCCGTAGCTACTTGCGAGTGTTACTTGGCTCAGCTCTGTTGCCAGCCCGTCGACGACTCGGGGCGCCGCACAATCTCGCGGTTGTCCAGCGAGAAGCGGGCAAGCATGGAGCTGTCTGTGGTGGCGAGTACGTCCGCAAGTGTCGATGGCGCGTTGATGGCCTCTTCGCCAGGCTTGCAGAGCACAATGCAGTCGATAGCGTGGATCTTGTGAAAGTTGACGGCGAGGCGCGGGTTGTCGGGCTCGAGACGGGCGGCCATTTCAAAGTCTGCGGCGGCAGCATCCATGAGATCCATAGCCTTGAGGGCAAAAGCGCGGCGAAAGTATGCGTGGGCATTGCCAGGCTGGGCCTCGATGACGGCGGTAAAGTCTGCGACGGCGTCCTCCTCGCAGCCCATGAGCTGGAGTGCCTTTGCGCGCTCGTGGAGATACTCGATGCGGTCCGAGCGCAGCGAGAGAGCCAGCGAAAAGTGGCGGACGCCCTCGGCGTGCATGCCGCCGTGACAGAAGCAGAGCCCGATGTGGTAGTGACAGTCGGGAGCGACAGCGTCGTCGATGCCGTGGTTGAGGGCGTCGACAAAGTCGTTGACGGCTTTCTTGTACTTGGACTGCCCGTAGTACGCGAGACCGCGCACGTAGGTCAGCTTGGGATCGTTGCTGTCAAACGAGATGGCGAGCTTGAGGTCAGCCACTGCGCGCTTGTACAGGCCCATCTGGACGTAGCACTGCCCACGGTTGAAGAGAAAAGTTGGTCTGTGCGGATCGAGCTGGATGGCACGGGTAAAGTAGGCAACGGCCTCGTGCCACTCGCCCACGGCCTTCTTGGTGAGCGCGAGGCAGTTGAAGACAAGTGGGTCGGCGTCGCCGAGCCGCAGCGCCTCGGAAAAGTCGTGGAGCGCAGCCGGGTAGCGGCCGAGGTGGAGGAGCGAGTTGCCGCGATTGTAGTACGCCGACATGTACTCGGGCTCGAGCTCGAGGGCGGTGTCAAAGTTCTCAAGAGCCTGCTCGTGCGAGCCCTCGTCTTGCAGCACCATGCCGCGGCGCTCGTAGGCACGCGGATCCTCAGGCACCAGCCGGATGACCTTGGTGAAGCAGTCGTAGGCCGCGGCGTGTTGGAGGGTGGCGTGGTACATGAGGCCGATGTGGTAGAGCGACGGGACGTAGGCCGGCTCCTGCCCCAGCGCGAGCTCAAACTGGATGATGGCGGCCTCGTAGTCCTCCTGGATCTGAAACGCCCAGCCCTTGGAGTGGTAGAAGAGTGCCACCGAGGGGTTGATGGAGATGGCCTCGTCAAACATTTCGTGGGCCGACTCAAAGCGCTTGGTAGCGAGGAGGCACTTGCCGAGGTTGAGGTAAAAGTACGGGTCTGAGCCCTCGAGCGCAATGGCCTCGCGGAACTCGGAGATGGCTGCCGAGTGCTGGCCCAGCCGGTAGAGCGCAAGTCCCTTGTTGTTGTGGTAGAACGCCTTTTGCGCATCGCGAGAGAGCTCGCCCGGCACAGCCAGTCCCGAAAACTTGATGGCGGCGGTAAAGCAGTTGATCGCCTTGGCAAAGTCGCCGCGCTCAAAGTACGCAAGGCCGAGGTTGTTGTGGATCGCCGGATTGCGCGCGTTGAACGAGACCGCAGTCTCAAAGCACTCGACAGCCTTGGCGAGGTCTTCAGGCGTGGCGAGCTTGCGGTAGACGAGGCCGCGGCAAAAGTGGACGTTGGCGCCCGAGACTCCAAGCTTGACTGCCATGTTGTAGTCGTTGCGGGCTTTGATAAACTGCTCCGACGCCGCAAAGCTCTGCCCGCGATGAAAGTAGTACTCGCCAAGCGCAGGGTCCTTGCGATCCTTGGCGATGGCCTTCTTGTGGTGGCGGAAGGCCTCGGAGAACCGTCCGAGCTTGGCCTCGGTCTGCGCCCGAGCATCGTAGTAGGCGGCGGTCGAGATGAACTTGCCACACTCTTCCAAATGCTGCAGCGCCTCCTTGTACTGCCCGTTGGCATGCAGCGCCTGCGCGAGGTGCAGCCGGAACTCGGGATCGTTCTGCGAGTCGAGCAGGGCCGTGGTGAAGGCTGAGATTGCCAGCTCGTAGTTGCCGTCCCGCATGCACTCTTGCCCGCGCTTGAAGTGCTGCTGCACCCGCGGGTGATGCATGGCCCGCCGCCGGCTTGCCATAATGCTCTGGACTGTGGTGCGGTGTGCGGTGCGGTGCCGGTGCCGGTGAGGTGAGGTGGTTGCCCTTGGCTTGGGGGCGTGCGGTCGGCAGCCGTCGACCGTTGCGGCTGTCGCCGCCACCCACGCGACGAGCTGCTGCCCTTCTTCCCCTCCACACCCACGCTGCCACACCCGACTCGGGATGGCGTCGCCCCACAGGGTTCTTCCGCCCATTGCCAGTCCCACACCTGCTTCGCGCGCTTCGCCCTCACCTGGCGGCCGCAAGGCCAAGGCTCAGGGCGCGGGCGAGGTCGAGGCTGAGGTCGGCCCGAGGCCGAGCGGCGGCGCCGGGTGCGTGGACCTTCCGCGGTTCCCGCCCCCGCCGGCAAGCGAGGAAGCTGCAGAGGTGGCGAGTGCATGGCGGCGGGCGTACCAGTGGGCGTGTGGTGCGGCGCGCAAGGTGGCCGAGCAAGACGCGGCGCTGCGAGTTGTGCGGACCGAGGCCCGGAAGGCGCTGACCGACGGCGAGCAGCTGCGGGCCGAGATCATCCGGCTGCGGGCGGACGTCAAGGCGGCGCGGAACAATGTGGCAGGCAGCAGCGGCGGTGGATGCTCAGGCGGGGTGCCGAGCCGAAACTCGCCCATGTCGGCCCGGGCCAACGCCGAGATGGCCAAGCTGCGGAGCGAGAACAAGGTGCTGCGAAACGAGCTCGCCGAGGCGCACGAAAAGGCGCGCGCCATGGAGGCGCGGATGATCGCCTTTGAGCAGTCGGCACAGCGGACCCGAAAAGAGGCGACGGCGGTGGTGGACGCCAATGTCACTTCGATGGAGACCGCCGTCTTCCGCGCAGACTCGGAGACCGCCCGCTGGAAGCGCCGCCACGCCGCCTTGCACAAGAAGTATGAGGCGATGAGAGTCCAGAACGAGCGCGACAAGCGGAAGCGCGCGGCGCAGGCTGAGCTCTTTGCTAGCGAACTCAAAGTCCAGCGCAACAAGTATGTAATCCTCCAGACCAAGTACGACGCCGAAGTGACCAAGAACCAACCGCCGATCTCAAAGGCCATGCTCCTGCTCCACGAAAAGGCGGCCCACTGGCTCGACAAGTACCGCGTGCTCAAACTTACGCACGAGGCGCTCGTTGCCGACCACGAGGCGCTTGTCACCGAGCACAAGGCTAACACTGTCGAGCTGCGGCGGGCCCGCGACAAGCTGCAGCTGATAGCGCAGACCGCCCCGTCGGATGAGGCTGTCGACGCTGTGATGCCTAGTGCTGTCGGCCGCGACTCACTCGTGCCCGCACACTTGGCCGACACACTCCACGCTATGCTCACCGATGCCGACGTCGCCGAGCGCATTGTGCGCAACCCGGCTGCCTTTCTGCACGCCTCCATCTTGAGCCTCGAAGAGCACTCGCTCATCGATCCCGGTGAGGCGCTCGGCCTCTCAGCCGGTGTCCGCGCCCTCGAAGCGCTTCTCAACGCGGCCCGGGCGCCCAAGGTAGACGTTGAGGCCGAGGCTAAGAAGTCCGCAGAGGAGATCGAGACCGCCTCTATGGTCCGCGAGCTCCAGTCCATGCAGGCAACCATGGCCCGGTTGGAAGCTTCTGCCGAACAGCTCCACACCGAGGTCCGCCACTGGAAGGCCGAGAACCGCAAGGCCGCTGCCCGCATCGCCAAGCTCGAGGCCCTGCTCCGCGAAGCCCAAGACACGGGCCATGCCTGATCCCTCTTTAAGCGCAACAGTGAACTGCTGGCAGCCTGCGGTTTTCGCCATGGCCGCGCCGCCAAACCTGGCCGCTGGCACTACAGACTGCTTCCAGACCGGTCCGCCCGCGCCCGGCGCCCCCGAGACGCAGACAGCGACAGAGCCAGATACCTGGCTCAGTGGCCCATGGCCGCCCCTCATCCGCAGCAATGGCGGGTGGTGCTTGGTCCAGGTGGCAGCGTCCGGCGAGTTCACGCCTTGCTCTTTGGCCTCGCGCCAGGCACCGCTGCCAGCGCGGTGGCTGCAGCACCTGCCCGCCCTGCCCCCGCCTCCCGCCCACTCCCGCGCATCCTCTCGCTGACCGATTCGGTGCCTGCCGCGGCGACGCTGTCGCTGTTCCAGCTGCCGGACGGGCCACGCGCTCCGGTGGCCTACGTCGTCCTGCCCAACGACCGCAGGCTCGCCATCCCGCTGACGCCAACCTCCACTGCCGGCGTTGTCCTTGCGGCAGCCGTCGCCGCCGTCGCTCCCCGCGTTCTGCCGGACCTCTCCCGATGGGCGCTTTTTGACGATGCTGGTAACAGGCTTGAGGTCTTTGACGAGCTCCTCCCGCGGGTCTGCTCTCCGGTTGCCTCCCAGTCGGCGCCGCAGCTGACTATCTCCATTCCGCCAGCTGCCGCCCACCCCGACGCGGATGCCGACGACTCGCCTCCTCCGCCAACCTCGCCCCTCTCACCGGACTCGGCCAAGCGCAGATCGCGACTGGCGCGGCTGTCGCGGTCGACGTCGATGCTGCTGCGCTGGTCGCGGTTGTCGTCGACAAGCTCGCGCAGGCCGCCACCGCCCACGCCAGCTCCGCCGGCAACGGCTGCTTCCGGCACAACGCACAGCAGCAGTGTCGAGACAGCGCTGCTCAGCGGCGTCGGTCTCAACAGCAGTATCGAGCTGCACTTGGTCAAGCTCGCAGCCGACGTTGCCGACGCGCAAACTGCCCGGCTGGTCCTCGATTGGCCGGCATCTTACAACCCGCCGGTCACCGTCGCGCTCTCCCGTCCGATTGGATCGTACGCAGAGCGGGTGGCGCTAGCGGTCACAGCGTGGAGCCTCCACGGTGTCGATCCGCTTTCGGCCCACCTAGTGCTCGAGTTTGATGGCTCCAGAGCCGTGGCCACGCTCCGGACGCTGCCGTCGCTTGCGGGAGGCACGCCGTCGCCGGCTTGTGCCGTTGTCGGCGGCGACGAGCTCATGGGCGCCACGCTACGGCTGGACGTCCCGACGTCCATCGCCGGCCTCACATATGAGCGGGATGCCCGGCGGCTTCGTCGAGCCATCCGCCGCCGCGCTAGGCTCAAGGCCCTGCTCAAGGTCAAGGCCTCGCTCAAGGCAGCCGTCAAGGAGCTCCGAACCGAGCAGCCGCTGCAGCCGCCGGCTTCCCTCACCCATCGCCGCCTCGCTGAGCTTGCCCGCGGCGAGGCGGCCAAAGCATGGGGCCGTGAAAGCAAGAACCGCTTGCTCGAGCCAAACGCCGTTCTTGCGACCGATCTGGCCAGCGTCTATGAGGCCTACGTGTTGACCTCGGAGCATGTGGCCACCCTCAAGACCGCCGTCCGCTCACTGCCAACGCCATCACCAGCCCATTCTGTCCTGCCCGACTTGCTTCGCCAGACCAAGCCGGAGTAGATGCGCTGAGGACAACTCAGCAATCGGTGCGCGCCGCAGTTCAAGATCTCCAGCTCACCGCTCCTGCGCCGTCCGGCGGCAACCACCCGCCACGCCGGCACCAAAAGGGATCCAACGCCCCTTTGGCCTTAAAGCCAGTCCCCCAGCCCAGCCCCCACCCCACTCTGCCCTACCCCTACCGCAGCCGGAGCTATGGCCGCACACGTGGAGGCGTCCGCGCCGGGAAAGGTCATTCTCTTTGGCGAGCACTCGGTGGTGTACGGCAAGCCGGCGGTGGCCGCTGCCGTGGCGCTGCGGACCTCTTCGCAGCTGACCAGCCCTGCGCCCGACGGCACGCCCACCCTCACTGTCGAGCTGCCGGACATTGGCGTGACGCGGACCTGGCCGCTGGAGCGGCTGCAAGTCTTCCTCGCCTCGGACGATGCGGGCGTGCTGGCTGACGCCCCGCTCCCGCTGGCCTCCCCGCCGCGCCCGGAGCCGGCGCTCGTCGACGCCCTCACCGCCTCCCTGCTGGAGGACGGCGATCATGCCGCGATTGCCGCCTTCCTCTACCTGTACATCGGCATTCTCCGCCGCGCCGACGGCACTGTTCCGTCAGGCAAGGTCCGCGCTGCGTCGCAGCTTCCGATCGGCGCCGGCCTCGGCTCGTCGGCAGCGTTCTCGGCGTGCTTGGCAGCGGCGGCCATGCGGGCGTCACCGCAGGCGGCCGCCGAGCTGCAGTGGGGCGACGAGACGAGCGGCGAGGCCGCGCCGGCGCCAGCCACCCTCGACGCCATCAATGCATGGGCTTTTTGCGCAGAGGTTGTCATCCACGGCACCCCGTCGGGCATCGACAACACCGTCTCCACCTTTGGCGCCGCCGTCCGCTACGAGGCCGCCGTCTCGAGCCCGGTTGCGCTGCCGTCGCTCTCGCTGCTTCTTGTGGACACTCGCGTTCCGCGGTCGACCAAGACGCTTGTCGCCGGTGTGCGCGCCAAGCGCGACACGTTTCCGGACGTCATGGACCCGGTGCTTGACGCCATGGGCGCGCTCGCCGACAGCGCTGTCGGCGTTCTGAGCGCCCTGGCCCACAGCCCGGCGAGCGACGACGCCGTTAGCGAGCTCGGCGAGCTGGTAGAGACAAACCAGGCGCTGCTTGCAGCCATTGGAGTCTCGCACCCGGCGTTGGCTACAGTCATGACAACTGCAGCGCGCCACGGCTTTCCAGCCAAGCTCACTGGCGCCGGCGGCGGCGGCTGCGCCATCATCCTCCTCCCTCCCGGCTGCGACGCCGCCGTCGAGGACGCGCTCGTTGCCGAGCTCGAGAGCATGGTCTTTTACAACAACGAGCACGTTAAGGTCATCCGGACCTCGATTGGCACGCCCGGCGTGACGTTGCGGCTGTGCCCGACTCTATGAGGTGTCAGTGCCGCAACAAATGATCCAACTTGCCTCTCTTTCTCCGCCCCCGGCCGCGCCCGCGCCCACGCTTGAACATCTGATGCTTGGTCTTGCCGCGAACGACCCGAGTGCCGGGTGCAAGGAGTTCGTCGCAAAAGATGCACCCATTGAGCCGGGCGAGGCCCGGGAGCGGGAGCTTGTCCTTGTGAAACTCGATAGCAAAGAGGTTCGCGCCGCACCCGCCGCACGGGTCGTCGCCGGTGAGGACCTTGACGTCGTGGGCACAGTCAGGCAGAGTGACGATGACGTTGCATCCGGTGCAGTGGAGCTTCCATACCGGTGCAGACATGGGCTCAAGCATGAGCGTGCCCGGGCAGCCGGGCGAGTCGTCATCGGCCACGGCGCGGACGCCTGCAGCCGAGCACGGGCCGACCGAAAAGTGGATGCCGGCGTAGCCACAGCCAGCCGCCTGACACGAGTCGCACGACATGCCGTCGGCAAAGGTAGGCGGCTCGAACGGACGGTTCGTGTAGCAGGCAGGGCAGACGAGGTAGCGGGCGCCCTTTTTGCCGAGCGAGTAGAGAACAAGCTCAAAGCCGTCGAGCGGACAGGTCTTCTCCTGGAAGAGCTTGATGATCCCATTGTTTGGCAGAGAATACGTCTCGTTGCATCGCGGGCAGTGGAGCCGCGACGGACGGTACATCAGCCGCATCACGTACTTGCACTTGCCGCACCGCGAGAGCGACTTGCCGGCGTCGGCGACCGGCGCGTAGTTGGCCTCAAACAGCGAGTCCATGAGCGAGACCGAGTCAACGAAAAAGTCAAACTTGGCCGCAAACGCGGCGATGCAGTGTGCCACGACGGCGTCCTTGTCGGCCACGCCCGAGGCAACGAGGTCGAGCTGGCTCTCCACGCTCGACCGGACGGTGGGCAGCACGAGCTCAGGATCGATCTTGTAGTACGAGTGGATGAGAACAATACCGAGCGTGGTCGGCTCGAGCCGGCGCCCGGCCACCACCTTGGCGTACCCGCGCTCCACAATGTTGTTGATGTGGGTGGGGCACGAGGCGTCGGTCCCGATGCTGTGCCGCTCCATGAGCGAGATGAGCTCCGACTCGGAGAGGAGGCCCGGCGGGCTTGTCTCGCCGGACCTGACCACAATGTCGGTGAGCGTGTACTCGGTCTCCGGCGAAAGCGGCGGCAGCGCCTTGCCGGCCGGCATGAGATGTGGGAGGAGAGCGCAGAAGCCCTCGTCAATGACAATGAGACCCTTGACGTGGAAGAGCTCGGTCTCGCCTGACGGCGCAGCAATGCTAAATGCAGCGGTCTGGTGCTCGACTACGCAGTCGGGTGAGACGGTGGCGATAAAGTGGCGGGCGACGTAGTCGTAGACCCGCCAGGCGTCGCCAACAAGCTCGTCCTCGGACGCCGCGCGCATCGGCACAATGGGTGGATGGTCGCCGGCGTCAACGCCGGCGCGCGACGGCGCGAGGCCGGACCTCAGCAGCGAGGTGACGTACCCGCCCCAGACCCGCGACCGACGCTGCTCCTCGAGTAGCGCATGGAGCTCAAAGCCCGGTGGGTACGCCGTTGTCTCCGTTCGCGGGTACGAGATGTAGCCGTCGATGTAGAGCCGCTCGGCAACAGCCATGGCCGCCTTGGGTCCGATGCCGAGTCCAGCCGAGCAGACCTTGAGCAGCCCGACCGTGTTGAGCGCTATTGGGCGTGGCTTCTTCTTGCGCTTGCGGCTCACGCTTGTGCAGAGCGCGGCTGTGGCGCCGTCGAGGGCGGCGGCGTAGGCCTGGACGACTGCAGCGTCAAAGACACGGCCGCGGGTCCAGTCGAGCGAGATGAGCGCGCCGCCGCCGGGCGGCGAAAACCTCGGCATGAGCTGCCAGTACGTCTCGGGCTGAAAGGCGTTGATGGCGTCGCGGCGGGCGACGACAAAGTTGAGGGTCGGCGTCTGGCACGGGCCGTACGAGATGAGCTCGGATGGCAGGTTGCCGTACTTTGCGGTGAGGTGCCGGGTCTGGAAGCGAGTAAAGGCGACGCCGATGCGAAGGTCGAGCTCCTGGCGGGCGTCGACCGCCGCGGCCTCGTCCGGGTTGGGCTCGACGAGACTGCTCATGGCGCGGGCGACCTCGGAGCGAGTGACGGCTGAGAAGCGGGCACGAAAGACGGTGCGCGAGGCAAAGGCCTTGTGAGGAACGAGACGATCGCGGACGTTGTCAAGGACCTCAAAGCAGATGTTCTCGCCCTCGCGGTCGCAGTCGAGCCAGAGGACCACCGCAGCTGCGCCCTTGGCCTCGGCCTGCAGATGCTTGCACACCCGGCTCTTGGGATTGGCTCGCTTCTTGGTCACCGTGGCAACGCTGAAGAGATCGCGCGGTGGCGTGGCGTCCCACGACTGGAACTGCGGGTCAAAGTCGAGCGAGTACACATGCCCGATGACCGCCGTCACCCGAAAGAGCACCCGGGTGCCGGCAAAGCTGCCCTCAAACTCGTGGACAGGCAGCGAGCGCGAGACGGTCGAGTCGCGGGTGACGACCTCCATGCCCTCGGGCGCCGCGTACATGGCCACCGCCCGCGCAATGGACGGCTTCTCGCCCACCATGAGCACCACCGGGAGGGTCATGGCGTTGGTGCGTGGAAGAGTGGTGGCAGTGACAGCGTGTTAGGGACGGGTGGCCGCCACACACGCCTAGGCCCGCATCAGCTATGCTGGGCAGTGCCATGCCGTCAACCAGCAGTCGGCCGGCGAGTCGCTCGGCCGTCCTGCGCGGCGCGGGCATCTCCACAGCCATTGCCATCTCCACGCCCACGGCTGTGAGCAAAAGTCAGTGACAACACCAGATGGCCTCACAAGCGGTTCCAAGCGCCTCTCCTGGTGAGACCTTGGGCAATGGGCTGGATTGGCCATGGCACTGCTTGCGTGACCAGTGGCGCAGCCCAAATTGACCCAATCCCTGCCGCCGCTGCGCTGCCACGCATGGCTTCGTCAACTTTGCAACCGTGACCTCACCACCACCGCCACACAGGCACCAGCACGCTGGCATACTTGACTCCACCCCTGCTCACTCACTAGCTATGGCAAAGAGCACGGGCAAGAGCAAGGGCAAGAGCAAGGGCGGGAAGCGCAGGGCAAAGATGGCGGTGCCTGGCAAGAAGGGCGACGCGTCGGGCTCGGGCTCGACCACCATCGTCCTGGCGCTCGTTGTTGCCGCCGTTGCTGTTGCGGCTGCGGTGTATACGTCGGTCAGAGTGGGGTTGGGATCGGGCGGAGATGGCGCTGGTGCTGGCGCTGGTGGGTCTGGTGAGGCTTGGATTGACAACGCTGGTGAGCTGCCGCGGCCGTCGCGGAACGTGACCATGTCGCGGATTGTGCGGACGCCGACGTCTGCCGAGGACGACTGGGGTGTGTGGAAGACGCGCGACTGCGATGTGCTAGTCGATGAGTGGCTGTACAAGGTCAGCGTGCCTTTCCGCGGCTACCATGTGGTGTGCTTCAACCCGGCTGAGCCGGGATCGGTCTCGGACAAGATGCCGACCGAGCTGGTGATGAAGGCGTACCGGGACGGGCAAAAGTCGCGCCAAGTGACGGCGACGGTGTCGGGCAAGTCGACCAAGACGCTCCGGGCCGACATCACAGCTGCGCTCAAGATTGCGCCGATTGAGCCGGGCCGTGAGCACCGGCAGCCGTGGGCGTTCTTTACCAACCAGGCGCGGCGGGCGTCGACCAAGGCGCAGGTCGAACAGGTCATGCTCCTGTTTGAGGGCGGGCAGTGGCTCTGGCCGGGCATCGAAATCGGCCACATGTGGGAGATCGAGAACCTTGTTGACGGTGCGCCGAACCTTGTGCTCGAGACACTCGAGCTCCAGCCGCTCGTTCTCTCTGTCCACCACTTCCTCGCCCTCTCCGAGTGCGACTACATTGTGGGCAAGGCCAAGCCGCACTTTTTCACCTCGGAGGTCGCGCACCAGGACAAAGACATCGGCAAAGACTCTTCAACATGGCGCACCTCGGAGCAGCACTGGCTCAAGTCGACGACGCCGGCGCTCAAGTTCATCGACCGCCGCATCGAGGAGCTCGTCCGCGTGCCCGAGGCCAACTTTGAGGCCACCCAGGTGCTCCAGTACATCGGGACCGGCTCGCGCTACGTCATGCACCACGACTACTTTGACGTCAATGCGTATCGGCAGAACGCGCAGCTGCAGCGCGCTTACAAGTACGGTGCCGTCAACCGGCTGGCCACCGTCTTTGAGTACTGCTCAACCGTTCGCAGCGGCGGGCACACCGTCTTTGGCCGCGCCGGCGGCCTCCCGCAGCCAGCCGACTTTGCCGACTGCAACCACGGCCTGCGCGTCGCGCCCGAAAAGGGCCGCGTCATCATCTTCTACTCGCTCCATCCCAACGGCGCCACCGACGAGTTCTCTCTCCACGGCGGTTGTCCGCCACTCCCCAACGACGATGGCTCAGGCCCAGACATCAAGCACTCGGCCAACAAGTGGGTTTGGAACGCGCCGACCGGGTTCTGATCACTGTCAAGCCTCTCCGGCCAGACAAGCTGCCGCAGGTCTTTACAGTCGTAAACTCGATCAACATCCGTTGAGCCGCGAGCAGCGCCTCTCCCATCGACCAGGTTCCTTGACCAGGTTTGTCTGCAGTGCCACGTCCCACGTGACCGCACCGCCACCCGTCTCGACTCCTGCTCCCCGCCGCACACACCCGAACACATACACACGCACACATACACACACACCGCATATACATACACATACAGGATGGCCAAAAAGTACGACGACCTTCTGTTCGGTGACCTCGACGCGGCCGCGGCAACGTCGGCCACCTCACCGGGCTCGCTCACCGACATAGCCAACACGCTGGAGAGCGTGACCGCCAACGCGACCGGAGCGCCAAAGGCGGCGCCTGCTGCTGCGTCGGAAACGGATGCACGTGCTACAGAGCTGGCTGCAGACGTGCCGGTTGTCTCGGAGGCCCGGCGCAAGAAGCGGAGACGGGCGCGGACTCTGACCAAGGCCGAAACCGAGCTGAAAGAGGCGCAGGCGCGTGGCACGCTGCTCGCGCCAATCGATGCCTCACTGCTGTACGATATCGGCCCAGCGTCCGCGAGCGAGGCCGCAAATGCACAGGGTCTCTCGGCTTCGCTGTTTTCCATGGCCCAGGCCGGCGTTCTCTGCGATGCCACGCTGGTCGTGTCGGGCGTGGATGAGCTCGAGGCAGCGACGCCCGAGACGCCGGTTGTCGAGCTCACCGTCCACCGCGCGGTGCTGGCCGCGGTCTCAACTGCCTTCCGCAGCGCGTTTGACAGCGATGCCGGCGGCGCCGATTGCCGGCTTCCGGTTGCCGGCTTTGACGTTGAGCTCTTTGCGGCCATGATCGAGTTTGTGTATCTCGGCTGCGTGCGGGTCTTTGTCGAGGCACGCAGCGACGGCAAGCGGCCCGAGAGCGTGCTCATCGACTTGCTGCGCATTGGCATGCGGTTCCGGATTGTGCAGCTGGTTGCCGCCGTCGCTACCGAGACCATCAAGCGTGTCTGTGTTTCCAACTGCGTTGAGCTCCTGCTGGCCGCGCGGTCGATGCTGCTGGGTGACGACGAGGTGCCGGGCGCGCGCTACCTTTGCGCCCTCGCCAACGTCTGCCTCCACACCATCCGCATCAATCTCGACGCCTTTGCCGGCAAGCAGCTCCTCCCGCTCTGCCTCGAGGACCTTGTCGCCATCCTTGGCTCGTCGGACGTCTCGGTCTCGTCCGAAGCTGTTGTTGTTGACGTCGCCTTTGCGTGGATGAAGGCGACCAAGAAGCGGTTCAAGCACAAGGACGTGGTCCTCAACCTCATCCGCTACTACGCGCTGACCGAGGACGAGCTGTTGGCGACCCGCGGCATGCTCAACAAGGCCATGAACGCGTCGATCATCGATGTTCAACTCGCTGCGGTGGCCGGCGGCGACATGGCTGCGCCGCCGCGTCGCCACTACGTCCACGCCAAGACGTGCATGCCGACCCACGAGCTGCGCGGCTCAGGCGCGCCGCTCTTCTGCGTCTCGCTCGCCGACAGTCGCATCTTTGTCTCGGGCGCCGCCGACGGCACAGTCTCGGTCTGGTCGGTCAAAGGCTGGAAGCGGCTCAAGGTGATGGAGGGACACAAGGGCCCGGTCCGCGGCGCCGTCGTCTGCGGTACGACCCTGTACTCAGTCTCACACGACCGCTCAATCCGCGGCTGGGATGTGGTGGCGTGGGAGCCGACAACCTCGCTGTTTTCAGCCCACCAGGCCCCCATCTGGTCCGTCGCCGAGTACGATCTTATGCTTGTGACCGGCGACGCGTCTGGCGTTATCAAGGTTTGGCAAGAGGACGACGGCGTCGACATCTTCAACGGTGGCGTGACCGGTACCGGCCTCTCGCAGATCGCCACCCTCAAGGACCATACCGGCGGCATCGTGGCCATGGCCACCTCGGACGCCTCGCTGTACTCGGCCTCGGACGACGCCACGGTTCGCATCTGGAACATCATGAACCAGACGTGCCTCAAGGTCCTCTCCATCGGCTCGACGCCGCTTACCACCATTGCGGCCTCGCCACTCATGGTTGCCGCCGCCTACGTTGATGGCTCGGTCCACGTCTGGCGCAAGAACAAGGCTGGGCCTGGCACGGCCAAGGACGACCCGGCCGGCACCGGCGGCGCCGCCTCGATGCGCTCCTTTGACATTGCTGCCTCGGACTCGGGACGCACCGTCCGCGCCCTCCTCTTTATCGACGACCTCGAGACGGACACGCCCTCGCGTTACGTCCTCACCGGCGCCACAGACGGCGTCATCAAGGTCTGGGACGTGTGTCCCGACTCGGGCCACCAGGCCGCACCGTCTTTCTCGGACGCCGAGCAGCACGTCGATGCTGACGTCGACGCCAGTCGGTCCTCGGCCTCGACCACCGCTGATCCCAACGATGCAGACTCAAGCAATGGTCCTGTGGATGCAGTCCTTGTCCGCATCCTCGACGTCCATGCCCAGTCGGTCAACGGGCTCGTCGGCTCCGGCTCAGGCTTCTTCGTCTCAGCCTCGTCCGACGGCACCGCCCGTGTCTGGGAATGAATGAGTCACGACAGCAGCGGAAGCAGCCAGAGAGTCCCGAGTGACAGCCACCTCACCACCCACACAGCCACACCCACACACCCACACACATACATGCGCTCCGGCGGCATGCAGGCGCCCATGGGTCGACGCTGTGGGGTTGTAATGGTGGTGGCGGCCCTCTTATTGGTGGCGGTCCGCGGCTGCCAGGTCGGCGGAGGAGTGCTCGGCGTGGCCGACAACGCAGCGACGCTCATCGCCCGCCCGCCGTCGCTGAGCTCGGTCTACGGCCGGGCGCATGTCAACGTGGTGCCCAAAGAAGAAAGCGCGGGTGACATGGTATGGCGCCCGGTGGCTGGCGAGCCGTGCGTGTGGCGCGGGTCGGTGGCTAGTCCGGCGTCGGCCACCTCCGCGCCAACAGTCTCGGTAGCCGCGCTGGGCGGCGGCGAGCTGAACGTGACGCTCGAGCTGCCAGCGCTTGGTGGCTCGCTGCGGCCGAGCGACAGGCTCGTGGTAGAAGTGCGGGTCGGTTGGTTGGAGGCTGATCTCGGCTCGGCGTGGAGAGCCCAGGTCTCGCTCCCGCCACTCTCCTGGGACTACGACAAAGTTCTGCGGCTCGGGCCGGCAAGCCTAAGCCTGGACGCAGTCTTCTCCCTCGACGCGCGAGTGCCCGCGTCTGCGCTTGCGGATGCAGGTGCCAACCCGTTGTTGCAGCGGAGCGGCTCGTCGGCTTCCGCCGTCTTTAATCTCTCGCTGCCGCTCCCAAACGGGAACTCGCCGCAAGCGCAGGCGGTCTCGTTTGTCATGACGGCGGTTGTCGAGCGCGGGGCGTGGACTTCGCTCAACATGTCACCCGCCGCTGCCCTGGTTCTCTTTCTCCTCCTTGTCGTGGTGGTTTGCCTTCTCCCGATCGGTGGCTTGTGTCTGCGCCGTCGGCGCCGCCGCGCCACTGCCGCCGCTGCCGTTACGCCGAACAAGGCCAGCGGCAAGGAGAGCTCGACCGAGTTGATCACCGACGACTGGATGTCGAGCACCTCTTCGTCGCTTCATACCTCGGACTTTTTGTAGTTGTTGGTCTTCAATGCGGTCGGTTGAGCAGGCGTCAAGCGCCGCGGGAGCGGGCGTGGCGGCGCTTCTTCTCTTTGCTCTTCCGGCGGTCGCGCTTGGCGGAACTTGCGCCCGACTTGGTCTCCTTGGTGGCTTCGTCCGGGTTCTCGTCCTCGGTCTGTGTGCCTGCGTCGAGGCCGCGTGAGAGGAACTGCTGGGCAAAGTCTGCTGTGTCCTTGGGCTTGAGGACGCGCGCGACGACTTGGTTGATCTTGGCGTGCTTGTGCGAGACGTAGCGTTGCCAGCGGTGGAGCTCAAGCTCCATGGTTGGTCGGAGCTTCTCTTGGATCTCGAGCTTGCAGATGGCGAGAACCGACTTGATCTGGAGGACGGTGCGGATGTCGGCATCGACATGGAGCACGATGCGCGAGAGCGTGTGCAGGACAGGGAGGAAGGTCGGGAGTGGGCCCTCGTCGTACTCTGCGGCAACAAGGCCGGTGACGTGATTAGAGCCTCCCGAGACCGCCGACGCCGAGGGCATCATCTGGTCCGAGTCGAGCGAAGCCACCGACGACGAGAGCTCCGGTAGCTGCGGGCGCCGAACAGGGCGCCGCTTGAAGCGGAGGCACGCGCGCGCCACAAAGGCGTAGCGGCGGGCCAGGAAGACGCGAACTTTGACGCCGCGGTACCACGACTGGATGCGGACGGCGGCGTTGTACATGGTAAGGTAGGTGAGGAGAATGTCGCGGTGGAAAAAGTGCACAAAGGTCTCAATCTGGGACTCGGGTAGCTTGGAGGCGAGCACGCCCTGGATGGTAGAGAGATTGGCAAGGTAGAGCGAATGACAAAGTTGTGAGGTCTTCTCCATTCGCTTGTGCAGCTCCTTGTTCTGGTTGAGGAGGGCAAGGACGCGCTTGCCAATGATGACGTTCTCCTCCATGAGCGTCTGCTTCTCGGACGACATGGTCGCCAGAATGCCCGACTGCATGGCGAGCGTGGCCTCGGCCTGCGCAAACTGAGAGTTGACCGACTTGAGCTCGGCGAGAAGCTTCTCGTTGATGTCCTGGAACTGCTTCTTGGCCAGGCCTTTGAGCGGGTGGGCAAACTCGGCGTCACAGTACTCGCGCATTAGGCCGACGTTGGCGGAGAGTCGGCGCTCGTCCTCAAGTCGGGCCACCTGCGCGGTGAGCAAGTCGTTGGTCTCCTTCACCCGGTTGAGTTCCTGCAGGAGCGCCAGTGCGTTGGCTGGCGAGACCTGCGACGGCGGGCTGCCGCCGATGTTGGCCTCGCGCCAGGCCTTGAGCTCGTCGCCAAAGTCGTTACGGAGGAGCGGATCCTGCAACCAGGTGTCGAGATCGGCGAGCGTGGTCGGATCTGGCAGCTCGGTCGGTGGGCGGACAAGGAGTGCCAGGCTGGGATTCGCCGCCAGGTTGTGCTTGGCAACAAGGGCGCGGTGGGCGGCGAGCTCGTTCTGCAGTGCCATGGTGAGGACTCGAAGGAAGGTCTCGTCCGACTCGCCAAAGTATCTGTTGAGCAGCGGGTCGCAGGCAAAACGCTGCTCGCGCGACCGCAGCTTGGTGTTCTCCTGCTTGAGCCTGTTGTTGTCGCGGATGATGTGCGGGAGGTCGCCGTACTCCTCCACCACACGAGCCAGGTGCTCGTTGGCCTCGAAGCGGAGGAGCTTCTTCTTGAGCACGACAATGAGCTGCTCAAGCCGCTCAAACTTGAGCTCCATCAGCATCCACTTGCGCCCGTTGTCGTCGGCCGGCAGCGACGGCGCCATCAGGTTCTGCGGCTCGTCGGTGACGAGCTCGTTGACCCGGATATCGTTCTCGATGGCCTCCACGTCGCCTTGCAGCTTGTCGGCCGAGAGCGAGACGGGCACAAACGAAAACTGCTCGTACATCGACGTCACCTTGTGCTGCGCCTTGAGCTCGGCACGGAGCGTCTTCTCGCGCGCTTCCATCATGGTCAGCCGCGCCTGGAGATCGGCCACCGAGTCGAGGAGCTCGCCGTTGACGTCGCGGTAGCCGCGGCAGAGGCCCTGCAAGTCCTTGACAAACTTCTGCCGCTCACGCGGCGTCATAAACGCGTTCTGCTCTACCTGCTGTAGCCGCGCCCACTTGCTCTCCAGCGCAACCATCTTGGCTCCGGGCTCGCCGTCGCCGTCCCCGCTTGCCCCGCCTCGGCCGGCCGCCTCCCGCGAGCTCGGTGCCGGCTGTGTCTTCAGCGCCTCGGGCTGCGCCAGCCGCAGCTGGTCGGTACCCACCGTCCGAATGTGCCGCGACATGACGTGTCTCTCTGGCCGCAATGAAGGGTGGGAGGTGTGGAAGGAAGGTGGCGTGGGTGGTGAGAGGTGCCAGCAGTGAGACTGCGCCCGCCCGCAACGGCCGAGAGCCGGTGGCACCCGACGGTACGTCAGTCTCTGTGGAGCCCATCGAATTTGGGCCCATTTCGTCGGTCACGTGAGAGTTTGGCAGACGAGTGGCGGCTACGATCCGGCGAGGGGTTGGACATGTGCATGGGTACGAGGGGGTGAGGTGGTCAGGAGTAGGCCACACCTCGCTCCGTCGTCCGACGCAAGGCTGTGGAGATGTCAGGTATGTGATGGTGTCAGAAAGGGAGGGTGAGGGTAGCAGGGGAGGTGGGGAGGGGAGGCAGAGGGGGCTGGCCTCTGGCTGGAGACGACCCAAAATGTGGCTTCTGGGCAAGGCATGCTCACAAAGTACGA